TGCGAGTCTGTGCCCATCTGCAGCGCACAAGGTTGTCGCTCACCGGAGGTGTAGGATCCCCATGGCCAGGCACCCTCCCACTGCCATTTATCCTCCGATATCTGCCCGCGGAATCACGGCTCCCCGCTTCATACCTCAAAACCAACCGCCTGCGATATTCTGTTTGTAGAGATCCAGATCTTCTTACATCTCAGGCTGATTTCGTGGGTGCTCAGAGTGGTAACACACAGAGTGCTCTGTGTGTAACAGGGTGTGAAAATGGGATTCTTCCTGGCCTGGAGTTTCAGCACAGACCTCGGTTGATGTCTGTCCATCAAAGGCCAACAGTAGCACCCCTACTAGTCAAACAAAGATGGACTTATTGCTGCTCTTTGCTGCAGGGAAAACTGCACACGGTGCGGAGATGTAGGAATGTGGAAGTAGGTGTTAGGCTGGGCTTTTTATAGGATTGCACTTGTGTCAGATGATATTGAGATGGGTTCAAAGGCTTGAGTATCTTAGTGAATTTTATCCAGGCGACAGGTGTGATCAGATAGGTTTATGATTTTTATCTAGCAGGTGGGAAGAAGAGAGCAGAGCTAAAGCTGTACCTGTTATGGAGGCAGCGGCCACTCAAGTTGTCAGGAGTGGGTATATTTGGTAGTATTTGCAGTAATTTTTAAAGGTTATTGGTGTGTGTGTTTGCTATTATAAATGTGATCTGCTCTTCAAATACATACCCCAATTGGATTTTGTTTATAACAGAGGTTTCTGTATGAATTAATTTTACATCATTTGATTCACTGAATTCCTAATGGTTAAGTGTTTCAGTAAGTTTTCCTGGGTTGTCTTATTAACCTCCGATGTAGATCGCTTCTCTTCCTCCTTTCCAATTCTTATATGCAAAGCCCTGTAAAACCACAGTAACACAGATTCTGATATAACATGATTGGTGATTGGTGTCCATCCTCTGCCAGGTCCATGTGCTTAAAACTTTTCTAGGAGTGCAGAGAAAGTGGACATGGAGGGGAGAAAGTGGAGAGAAATAGAGAAACATGAGACAATTCCATGACAGAGAAAGAGGAGCTGGGTCCCTACAGCCCATACTTGACTGACCCAGAGTTTCTGTAATAGGCATACGAAGCAGGGGATAATTTGAAGCGAGGTTCTTGCAAATCCCAGCCAGATTACAGAACCTAGAATCAACCCCAAACATATTTGTCCTGAGGCAGACAAGTGCCACAGGGTAGTACCAAATAGCAGCCAGGACTCAGACAGAGATGGATTATCCAGCTGGCCTCCTGAACTCCTACTCAGCTAGCCAACAGTGGGCTCACCTCACTCACATAATTAAGTTTGCAATTATGCAATCCCACATTTTATACAGTTGCACAGAGAATATATTTATTTCATGGATTAGCTATTGCACATAACAATGTTTTTAAGAATAAAATAATCCCCACAAACCAAATTTATGAAATCAAGTAACTGGGAATGGAAAGAGGGAGGAAGAGAGGGAGGGGAATGGAATGAGAGGGAAATACAGGAGTCTTCGCTATATGTATATCATCATTAAACATCTGAACTAAATATGATAACAATTGACATTTTATGATATAAAATATATATAATTATATATTATAACTTTTATATTAGATGTTTATACATTTCTTTCAGTTTACTATATATATGTTTTATTGAAGTCCAATTTACCTAAGTGAAATGCACAAATCTTAAGCGTATTTTATACAAAACTGTACATATGTATACATTTATGCAATCACCACCCAGGTCAAGATATTTTCAGACTCCAGAAGGATGTTTCTTGCCCTTTTCTCAGTCAAGACCCTTCTCCCGGAAGAACATCCAGTATTCCGATCCCTATTTGCCACTGGTTCATTTTTCTTGAACGTGTATCATGGAATCACACAGAATGTATTCTTTTGTGTCTGGCTTAATTTGCTCAACATTACATCAATGACAATTCTTCATATGGCTGCATGTTTTCTTTTTCATTTCTGTGTAGTATTCCATTGAGAGGAGGTACCATAATCTGTCCCTCCTACTGCTAATGATTGTCTTCATTTTGAGTGCTCAAAGCCAAGGTGGTGAAGAAACACACTAGGAGATCAGGAAAAGAAGTTGAGTCGGGATTATCAATACATAATTCCTTTTACTTTGTGTTTCCTGCCTTGACACATCAATGGCAGGCCGCCGGTAGAACTTTCTTAGAAATGTGCTAGCTGTAGGGAGAATGTTTTGGATAAGGATAGGTTTGCACCTGCAGGTCCACTCTCTTCCTTTCTCTACCAAGCTCTTCACCCCAGGAAGCTGACACTTATCGATGGATCAAATTCCACAGACTCCTGTATTTCCAGACTTCCATTTGGCTTCAGCAGATAGGAAGTCTGGGTGGGAGTGGGGTGGGGAATGAGAGCAGAATGAGATCGTTCCCTGGCTTCCTCCTTGTGAAGGGACCTGGGGCTCGCTGCGCTCCCTGACAGACGTCACAGCTCTTCTTGAGGTCACTTGCTCTACAGGTCTCCTTCCGGGTTCCAGTAACCTCTCCCGGCCTCATCCCTTCGGACCCAGCAGTCATAGCTCCGCTGTGCTAGCCGGCACTCTCTGCACTGCCTCCTAGCATTCCCTTACACCTCACCCATGCACACTTCCTAAGTAGTCCTTCCGTAAGTAAGCCTTTCTTCAATTATCCCGACTGGAGTTTGCCCACACTTGGCAGGCAGGACTTGACTGCTGTAAATGTTTTTGATGTGTTTTGCTAAGCTTTAAGTCAAAAGAAAAGTTGTATTTTCTGTTTCATAAACACACACACCTACACCTCACCTACTCACACACTTCACATGCACCCTCTCTCTCTTCAGGGCTCTTGCAAGCCCTGGATTCTCATTTCGTTTTAAAAACACTGTCAGGCAGATGAGGAGATGGAGCCGGACACACGCATAGCTGACCCAGAGCAGGGTTTATGGGGAGAGCTGGCAGAAGCAGGGCAGGGCAGGGCACAAGCTCGGTCCCCCCACTGCCCATCGCATCTTGGACTGTGTGCAGGCATTAAGGGCGGTTGCTGTATTCGTCGCGTTCTGAAAGAGGAACTCGGCCCCCTCTCCTTGGGCTGTGAGGCTTTTGAGCTGCATGACTGAGGGAAGCACCAGTCCCTCCCCTGGCATGACTGTGGCCTGGTGTCCAAGTCTACTGTGTGATGTGGCAGCCCTTGGCCTCTAGCCCTGCTCTCCCTCCTTGGATTTCATGGTTGGGAGAGGCCTGCATCCTTCCGCCATGATCAAGGGCTAGGTTTCTGGGCTTGCAATTGCAGGGGTAGGATGTGGTGAGCGTGCTAGTAGCCTGCAGCTCAGATCCATGGAAGCAGGTTTCCAGCCAAGTCTCAGCTCCTAAATTGTCTGAGGAGGCAAGTCCAGCTCTGAGATCCCAGCCTCCAGGGGACCAGGCTTGGGCAAATCATTCCTTAGGTCTCAAATTCATTTTCCTTTTATACCATTACAAAACCTAACATGAAGACTTAAATGTGTTTTGTATGAAATTACAGTGCTCTCAGGATAACCAATATGCGCTATCAGTTGTGTTAAAACATATTTGTGCGGATCTTGAATAATGCTTCTTCAACTATTTAATTGAAGCATATCGTAAGATTTCCAGTCATTTCAACAAATACTTCTGCCATTTAGAATTACATATGTGTGATTCAGAAGTTTCTGCAAAGCTAACAGAATATGGAAATAAACTCAATGCTAAAGTTGATACAAGACCGCTAATGCCATAAATACCACCAGTGTCAAATATTTGTGTTCAAATGTCTCCCTGCTTGACTTTTACAAGTAAATGTATAAAGGAACTTGGTAACATATTTATAGGCAAAATACTATTTTGGAATTGTAGATATGAAATTCTACATAAAATTTACTTTGAGGAACAATACTGGAAGTTAACGGTTTAGGTAACAGCACCATCAGTATTATTAGTTAGACCCCACTTTTCAGTTCTGGCTTTAGCAAACACTCTCCATCTCTACCGGAAGGCCCTCTGTCCTGGGCAAGTGTCTATGTGTCACCAACTAGTGCACAAAAAAGTGACTCTGTCTTGTGATGCTTCCTGTTTGACGTAAGTTTTTTCCTCAAAAGCGTTTCTTTGCAATCTGACTGGAGAAAGAAAAAAAGAAACCTAGTGCTGGGCTTTGGGGGACTCAGAACGAAAAAAAAATTATTTCTCTCTCAGCAAATTCTGACATCATCGGGTATATCATCGCAAGACCAAGGACACAGGAATGGAAAATAAAAACTGCAATGCCACAGAACTTGACATGTAATCTTTTTTATTTTGTGATAAAAATGCTTTCATATAAATTTCATCTTAACTACTTTAGAATGAAACTTTGAAAAGTAAAAACATTGTGCATTTTCCTTACTATGTCATAGTTAGGAACATGCAGTCATTTTTCTTAGTTACTGGGTTTCTCATACAAACAGATATAATATCACTTTTAAGAGAAATGTACACAAGGAAGGAGCCATAGTACCAAACAGTTACAAGTGGGAGCGTCAGGTCATATAATTGTGTCCTCTCAAATAGTCATCATACATTCAATGTGTTGGTTAAAACCAAAATCTCCAAACTGCCTGCCAACAAAACATTATACCTTTGGTTCTTTTCTATGCAAGAATTGTGTACCAGCAAACGTAATAATAAGATGGTGTAATGGGCTTGAGCATCATGGCTGACTGCTTACAACGAAGTCTTTCACTCTCTCTTTCCCTTACACCTTTCCCTCCCTCACCATCATGTAAGTCAGAAAATGATGCTTAACACAAAACAGAAGAAATGAACAGAAAAATCTATCCCCAAAGGCAGACAGAAGAGGAGTCAGAGGAAGAATTTATAAAAATAAAAATAAACCAAAAATGGGGGGGGGTGACCTATACATGGCATAAAAGATATGGCCTATAAAAACTTAGTCTCTAATTCAGAACCCCACTGAGAAAGTGATTCTCCATCTCACCTTCTCTTTTATTAGGCACTATACAACTCAAGGGTTCTTAAAATCTAAGGGATTGATAAATGCTTGAAAGGCAGTGTCTTCCCCTTCATCGCTGAAGCCTGTTGTCTGTAATGGCAGTTTTCCCAGTCCCTTCCCCCAAACCCAAAGGATCCCAAGAAAGAGAAACAAGCAAGTTAGGCTGACACTGTGGTTGGGGAGGGAGGAAGCTATAGAGGAGCCAAGCTGTTGGGTCAGAGGCTGATACTTTCAGGAAGTGGTGATGAGACAGGATGAAGAAAGGGCAGATGTGGTGGGGTCCATAGTGGTCCATGCAGAGAGGTTCTCCCCATTGTGAATCAACGATGGGTCCAAGGTAGACAGTCACCATTCAGAAGATAAAATGTTACACGCTATGAAAGGGCTGGTAGAGTTGCCATGTGAGAGAATAAAATACAGAACGAACAGTCTGCTCATATTGGGGCAGAACAAATTATTTTTGTTGGTTCAATGAACTTGGGCAGGACTGAAAAAAAAAAACAAAACCAACCCAGAACATTTGTAGACTGCCAGGTTAACAGACACATAGGGGTTCCATATGGGGCCACAGACAGATAAATCAGGTTAAGCAGGATGCTCTGATGGGCACTCCTAGCCAAGGCAGGAACGAAGATTATCATTCAAACCAAAACAGAGTAGGAAATTCACCTGTCAATATCTTCAAAATGCCCCAGCAGAACTAATTTCCCAGGTGTCATGACATCATAGCACCAGGTAGAGACGACAGCGTGGTCACAGGACCAACTATTAGCTGACTCAGGGAGAAGAGGAAGAAAACTGTTTTCCTCCTATTTCTAGTATTGACTAGAATGCTTCTGCCCTCGACAGAGGGTCACGGAAGGTGCCAAGACCACAAATACAGAGAGCAGACTCAAGTATAATATAATCACAATCTGAGCATGAGCATGATAAAGAGAGTAACTCTTTCATTGTCCATAATCATCTAGAAGGTGACTCTGGGAAAGGAAAATGTCCTAGTAAGTTTCTATGTTAGTGGCCTAAAAGGGAATGTCATGACCTGCCATGATGGAAAAGGAATGGTAGCAAAAACATAGCAAAGGCTGCCGCATGGTTCCAGCTTTCTTATAGGGCTGGCTTGGGCCCTACAAAACCAGGCCAGCTTTCTGTTTCTGGAGCTTGAACATAGCAAGTCCGTGTGTTTGGCAAGAACCTACTTGGGTGCGTGGGTAACTCCAAGCACACGGTGTGGAAGGAAGACTGGTGAGCAGGCGTGCGGTCAGAAACAGACTCAGGAGGTGGAGACTACAATCCCCCCCACAAAAGGAACAGAGCTGTCATGGGGTCCCTTGAGCCGAGCAGAGTTCAGTTCTCCGTGGTGAGGGAGCATCCTTTGAGGCATCTTCTTCTATGGAGATATCTGGAAGGAAAGGCTCAACAGCTAAGGCTAGCTTCCCCTGCTGGATGAATGAGTGAAGCGGGCTGGGGGTTCTGAGATCTGGGAACAAATGTGTTTCACACGGGCCATCAGTGGAATGCTGGGCAGGAAGGAAAGGGACTTGATAGTGGGTAACCACTTCTCACATGAGTTGGCTTATCTCTTGGTAATTCCAACATTCCAAATCTTTTTTTTTTTTTTTAAGGGGGGGTCACAGTACCTGCACTGCCAATGATAAAACTTCACACTGACTAGGCCCACAAATGGAAAAACAGGCCAATTCTCATCCTTCTTCCTGGTAAGGGTTAGGTAAAACCCTGCATGCAGTCTCTTGAAAGGGTCTTCTGTCCCCAGAATGGGTTCAAAGAAAACTATCTTGCTCCCCTTCCTCTTGTAGGAACGATATTATGTAGGAAATTGCAAGAGATTCGTTTTCTAAATAAACATACTTGAAAGGTGTATGCTGAGAACCATAACCAAAGCAAACCCTGTGATACTCCTGGGGACACTGGGAAAAGAAGAGAAAGGAGGCTGAAGTTGCTTTCCAGAGCAGGAATGACTAAAAGCACAAAGGTCTTGCACTCTAACATGCTGGGGGCACGGGTGCACAACCAGAGAGGTGCAAAAATTAAAGCACCAAATGAAGTCAAAAGAATTTCCAAGGAAGATAAAATGAGACAGGTCAACGTAGGCAGAATTCCAGGGTACAGTTTCCAAAAGGACCATACTGTAGAATCTTCTCATGGATATGGCAGAAGCCCCCAGGGCTTAAAATGCAGTCCAAGCTGCAAGAATGTCTGGGCTATGACAGGCATCCATTCTTTTCTCCAAATAGAAAAGAGTAAACATGGTCCCAAGTCTTATATTCGTTTTGCATTTCCACAAACTTGGCTTGTTGGGTAAGAGATTAAAAGGAGCCATGTTCCCCCAACCCCAAATCCTGCAGATACCCAGTGCAGCTGACAAAATTGCTTCCCTTGCATTATCTAAAAGATAAAAGCATCTTCTTTCTCCTGCCTCCAGAAGCTGGTTCCAGAGATTTCTTCATTTCTCTCCCGGATGACCTTCATTTGTTCCTCAGCAGCATTTACAATAGGCAGTTCTGTTCCTACACTGGAGGCAGACTCTTTCATGCATAAACCTGCATGTTGCTGCGTGGTGGCTCAGACATGTGTGTTCCAGGTCCCCGCTGACCTCCTCCAGCACCCCCAGGGGTAGGGCTGGTGGTCACATCTGACCAGTCAGAAGCAGAATGGGGTGATGAACTTGACCACTGGTCAGGAGACTCTGGGGATGGTGTCAGGTAAGGATGCTCACCCTGCAGGTGACCACTGTGGCTGGGTGTTCGCTCAGCAGCATTTGAGGAAGCATAACTATGCTGTGAAGGTGGTGTGGGATACTTGCCCACAGAGGCTGGAAAAGGATGATAGGCTGGGAGAATGGTCTGAGCAACCTGCCCATCCTGCTGGGGCATCATGGCAGTGGGGAAAGCCATATTGGGCAAACGAGCCATTTCTGGAATCTGGTACATGGTGGGCACGGGGCCTGCAACAGGAGGAGGGCAGTTGGACTGAGGCTGGGGAGTACCTCCCGGTTGGGCAATACTGCCTTTGGGGATTAGCTGGAAAGTCACAATGGGGGGCAAAGGCTCCCGAGGGGTAGTTATATGCTTCCCTTCAGGCGGCCTGCTCTGGGGAGCTATGCCAGGATGCGTGCCCTCAGCTGGAGCCAGAACCATACCAAACATCTCATTGTACTGGGTCTCATTCATTTCCATGCGGTTCATCCAATCTGCCGGAACAGTGACAGGATGGAGCCTACTCAAGCTCCCTGCGCTGCTACTGCCCGAGGGAACAATGTGGTGGTGGGATAGCAGCTGGCTCACAGAGGGAAGCACGGTGCTGGCCCCATGAGCCAAAGGCTGCATTTCATGCAGGTTAGAGAAAGACAGTGCATGCTGTGCATGGACTGGGGCAGGGGGGGCAGCAGTGGCCAACAGAGGGTTGGGCGAGGCCTGTAAGATTCCAGGGGATGTAATCATTGGAGAGGATGTGGTGTCAGAAACATACGTGTGAGGAGACTCTAAGGAATCAACAGGGGATAAAGTCACTGAGCTCTCAGACAGCTGACCCTTGTCACTCAGAGACTTCTTCCTCCTACTACCCTTGGCATCCTTGGCCTCCTTGGCAAGGTTAGGGAGGCTAGTGGGCATGGTACTCTTGGTATTGGGCCGCCTAGGCTTCTTGCCCATTGGGGTGTGCTTTAGGCTGAGGAAAGATCTGTTGGGCCCACAGATCACAGGTGAGAGGGCAGAAGTCAGCACAGTGCCTGGAGGGCTCGGCGTCACATTGTACTCATCCAGGAGGCGCACAATGTCATGGTGCATGCGGTCCCGAGCCACATCCCGGGGAAGACGATCCATGTGGTCTGTGATGTCCCGATTGGCAAAATGGTCTAACAGGATCTTGGCTGCTTCATAGCTTCCCTCCCGGGCAGCAAGAAACAGAGGTGTCTCTTCCTACAGAAAAGGCCCACATAGCACAGTAAAATTAGCAACACTCTTGAGAATACGCCAGTGTTTCTCAAACTTTGTTATTATCAACCCCATAGACATTTTTTTTCTAACTGCCTCCCTGTGTGAAATTTTAATACCACAGATAAAATGTCTATTTGCCTGTGTACTGACTGGATATCTGTGGCTTTATACATAAAAAGAGTACGATTATTTCACCCTTCCCCAAGAATCAGTTTTGCCCCATTGCAGGCGATGTCTCCTTAGTTAGGAATATGTGAAATAAAGCATGCCCTTGAGCCAGAGATTTGCTTAAAAGAGCACTGAGCTTATCAAAATAGGGTTCTAAGAGGAAAGGAAGTTAGAAATAAGAAAGGTAGGAGGGGAAGAACCTAAAGCGGAAAAATAAGGGGAAGCAAAAGCAAAAGGAAACAAAACATGTTCAAGAAAGAATTAAAATAAAGGAAAAGAGGAAATACACAAGATAAGGTGAGCAAGAGAGGGGAAACATGACCTAAGACTCAGAGGAAGAAAAGCAAACAGGAAAACACCCATGGTGTCCAAGAACAGAAAACAAGAGCCACAGCAAAGAAAATGAAAATGAACAAGAGAAAAGGAAGTGAGCATAAGCAGAACAGAGAAGAGGAGAAAGAGCAATGTCTTTAACTTCCAAGTGTTTGAATTTCTTCCAGATTTTTTCTATGATTAAGTTCCAGTTTCAAAGCATTGTGGTCTGAGAACATGCAGGGAATAATCTCAATCTTTTGGTATCGGTTGAGACCTGATTTGTGACCCAGTATGTGGTCTATTCTGGAGAAAGTTCCATGTGCACTCGAGAAGAATGAGTATTCTGTTGTTTTAGGGTGGAATGTTCTGTAAATATCTATGAGGTCCATCTGGTCCAGTGTGTCATTCAAAGCTCTTGTTTCCTTTGTTGATTTTCTGCTTAGATGATCTGGCTATTGCTGAGAGTGGAGTGTTGAGGTCTCCTACAATTAACGTATTATTATCAATATGATTCTTTATTTGTTTAACAGTGGATTTACGTAGTTGGCTGCTCCCATGTTGGGGGCATAGATATTTACAATTGTTAGATCCTCTTGTTGGATAGGTCCATATATACAATGGAATATTACTCAGCCATCAGAAAGGATGAATACCCAATGTTTGCATCAACATGGATGGAACTGGAGGAGATTATGCTAAGTGAAATAAGTCAAGCAGAGAAAGTCAATTATCATATGGTTTCACTTATTTGTGAACATAAGGAATAGCACAGAGGGAACTGGGAGTAGGAAGGGAAAAATGAAGGGGGGGGAATCAGAGGAGAAGACGAACCATGAGAGACTATGGACTCCGGGAAACAAACTGAGGGTTTTAGAGCGGGGGGGCGGTGGGGGGATGGGTTAGCCCAGTGATGGGTATCAAGGAGGGCATGTATTGCATGGAGCTCTGGGTGTTATACGCAAACAATGAATCATGGAACACTACATCAAAAACTAATGATGTACTGTATGGTGACTAACATAACACAATAAAAAAAAAATTAAAAAAAAAAAGAGCAATGTCAAAGAAGAGGAAGGCAGAGAAGGCTACACTGACATTATTTATAAGACAGCCTGCTTTAGACTGAGTACTGCGGAGGCAGAGGGTTCACTCCTGACACTTCCCTGGGTAAGCCCAATACTCTCCCCTCAAGTTCTTCAGAGCCAGTTCCTGTCCAACCTGCGTTCCTCTTTGTCTAAACTCATCACCAGAGGAACTATAAGAGAAAAGGGAAGGCACTGCTAAGTCTGCCCTCCAGCTCAGAGCCCAGACTGTACCTTGTTGTCTTGCATGTCTCGGTTGGCCCCATTTTTCAACAGCAAAAGGGTTGCCTCCACGTTATTGACAGCAGCTGCCCAGTGAAGAGCGGATTTCCCTGCAGGGAAAAACATTTTTATAAGCAGACAGAGTAGAGGGACATGTCCCTACAGTATAAAGAAGCATCATGACTTATACAAGGAAACTTCGAACTTCCCAGAGAACAGCAAGCCAGTTGTCTGTGGGGGCCCATGGGAAAAAAACGAAGTATTATCTTACTTTTCTTCTGTTCTAGAAATACTTTAATACAGGTTGCCTAGCCTTCAGAAGACATGTAGGATCATTTGTCTATGCTACCCACGTCCTCCACCTGATAGAATCCCACACTGAGGACAAGAATCTATCTATCACACACCAGAATGTCTATTTAAGATATTGCCCACAACCCTCTAGTGAAGTCAGTTCACAAGTCCTCCTATCGAGCGTGGTATGCCTGGGAACCTACAGAGGCAAGCCTTTCACAGACTGGATTTGAGATCCAAGAACCCTCACTAAAAATCCCTTCCCATCTTTGTCTGTGGACTACCCACCGGCTTAGTTCTCTGAACTCAAAATGTTGAAAGGAAGAACAAATGAATGAAAGAATCTACAGTGGATTCAAATCTGGGACAGTTCTTCAAGGATCGTGTAATGATTTTCCCCTTAACGGCGTGCTTTGCAGGCAAAGAGTCCGACTCCCTGCCTCTCGGCCCTACCATGGTCATCCACTGCATTCACATCTGCTTGGCAGTTGATCAGTTCTGCCACCATTCCCTCCACAGCTAGGCGGGCAGCCAGGATCAGCGGTGTAGTGCCATCGTTCATCCTGGCATCCAGATCAGTCACTCGGTTGCGGATCAAAATCTAGAAGATGAGAAAGTACAGAAAAGAGAGTCACCTGGATAAAAGAAGATAATGAAGCTAAGAGAAGAAACAAGAGCAACAGAGCTGATGCTACACTAAATTTCTGGAGGGCAGGGAATGCTTGTTATCTTTGTGTCCAAGATTCTATCATCCTCAATCAATAAATACTGAATGAATGAACGAACAAATGGGTGCTCAAGAGACAATGGCTCATAGAAAGTGATGTCTTCTACTTTCTAAAGAAAGGAAGGATGTGGGAAAATACCACAACCTCAATTATGGTATATAGTTTAAGATGAATCAGAATGCTTCCAGTTTCCTCACAAGGCTAAAATAAAAGGGCAACAAGGAATACACTGCGAATCCAGTCAAGAAAACCAACAAGGAGCAGCTGGAAGCCCAAATAGTCAGATACATCTACAGGAAGAAGCTGACACTAGTTGGAGGCTTAGTAACAGGGACCACTCCCCTCTGACCTATTCACCTAGGAGGCATTTTGGCACATCAAAAAGGGTGGTAATTAAGAATCAGAAACCCCGGTGTGATCTGCTGTTGGCTCTGTCGCCATCTGGCTGCTAGAGTTAGGTCAGTTTGCTGCCATTCTTTTCCTGCTCTCCCATCCAGCAAGCATGACTCCACCACCCACCCTATTCTCTCAAAGAATTTCTGAATGAATGTAATTGGATATTAAGCATCTTAGCAAAGAGGAAACATGATAGATCCACGGGGAATCAGCCCTACTCCTGTTCTTTACCTGGAAGACCCCCTGGGCGTCAGCTGCCACTGCAGCATGGAGAGGGCAGCGGCCCATGTTGTCCTGCGCGTTGGCGTCCGCACCTGCATCCAGGAGACGCTTGGCAGCATCAGCCCTCGAGTAGCGGGCTGCAAGGTGCAGTGCCATCTCACCGGTCCGGTCTGTCTGGGCCTGCAGGCTGGCACCCTGGTAGACCAAGTCTGTGATGATGTTGGCAGAAGAGTCCTCTCCATCTTCATCTTCATCGCTCATATCTGAGCTGCCTCCTCGGAGAGAAGCCAGCATCAATGGGGTGCACCCATCTATAAGAAAGGAATTTTCCAAAAAGCATTCAAGGAGGAGAAGGACATTAATGTTCCATTAGCCCAACTATTGGAATAGTTCCGTTTGAATAAAGTTATTCTTATGGGGGAAAATAAAAATCCCTGGGCTTCTTGTGGTAATTGGCAATTAGTTTTACATCTGCCACCGATTTTTCCTCTGATAATGTCCTTTCTGTGAAGAGTAATGGGAAAGTAAGAGTCTTTTTAAGCTGGGGCTCTCCTCTAAGTTAAACAAGGCTTCCTGTTTAAGTTCCTAAGTGCAATGTTATTTTAAATTGGGCCACATTTTAAAATGTCCAGTATTAATAGAATGATATGCACTAAGGTATCAACTAAACTAATTTTCTATCCCTCTGCTTTGGGATATTCTTTTTCTTTTTTTTTTTTTTTTAAAGATTTTATTTATTTATCTGACAGAGAGACACAGTGAGAGAGGGAACACAAGCAGGGGGAGTGGGAGAGGGAGAAGCAGGCTTCCCGCCGAGCAGGGAGCCCGATGTGG